AGCTAGAAGGTTCCCAGAAATACTTAAATTTGCTCTACTGGAAGGGTGGTGCCATCAGGACCTACAACACTATTAATAATTCTTAAGGGCCGTGTCTTCTGAAGCACATACTGTTTCCTCTTTATTAATAGAAACTGCATTTTGGGACCAGAAGGCCACTGAGATCTTATTTGTTTTTAGGGGAATTTGGACCTTCCTGCTGAGTTCCAAGCAGCTGGGTAGGTACTTGGTTGATTTGAGTTGAAGTTCTGTCTGTCTGCAATGGAAAGATGGACAAAAAGCATTATGGCTTGATTTCCATCTCATGTTGAGTTATGGTTCATGCATGCTCCATGGCCTTGGGATTGGAAAAGAGCATGCGTAGATTTTCAGATGAAGCCTCTGTTAACCAGATAAAAATGTGCATTTCAGAAGCAAAATACATCTGCGTTGCAGCACGGCAAGTTCAAAGCCACTCAGAGAAGTTTATGGGAAGCAGCTGTGGGTTGTCTTTGTTAATTAGGAACAGAGCACGCTGAGGACTTGACACAACAGGTTTACACAGTGCGATTAGGTAAAGAAAGTTAATGTCTGCTTTTAATAACAAGAGCAAGTAGCAGAGGTGGCAAAGTATTTTTAATGACATCATTTGCCCAGCTGTTTTACACATCTGTAACCCGGGACGTCGTTCCAATTCTGTAACACTTCATCCTTGCTCTTCCACACCTTTGGGATAAGGATAAAGTTACCTGTCTGGGAGAGAGCAGCCTGGGCAACGTTTGCATTTGTGGCCAGTTATCAGCATTGGCCGTGTCCAAGCACTGGCTAAATCCTAAGCATACCACATTAGGTCTATATATTTTTAAAGTACTAATTACTTCACTGTGAATTTGGCACTTATGCAGATCCCTGTGCTCTCGGCCAGGCTTACATCTAGGAATGAAACATTTGCAGCAGCTGCAAAAATGTTTTTACTTATTTAGAGCATTCTAATATTTTATAGCCATGAATAATGACAAGCCCATGAATCAGGCATCAGTTTGCAGTGCTAGATGCTTCCCCCTGTGATGTCTTAGACAGTGATGGCACGAGGGCCGTGCCATGGGGCCCTGCTGCATGGCCGTGTGGATGTGTGTTGCTCATGTAGGGGCAGGTTCAGCTGATTGGATCCAGTGGGATTTCCACTGAGAGGGCTTTGATGCAGATGCCTTTTTCCTCCTTTTGTAATCTCCATGCAGCTGTGTAGAACTACCTCTGGGGCTCTAGCTGGGCTTCTGTTTCTGAACCTAAGCAGCTTATTCTGCCAAGGTGTTGTGGCCCACTAAAGATGGGCTCACACCTGCACCCAAAGTGTTACTAAGAGTCAACTTGAGGGACTTGATTACCTACGTGCTAACGAAGAGGAGTTCTCTTTCAGGTGGGGAACAAGACGGATGCTGTGCAAAATGTTTGAGGGGTTTGCTGTCACTTTGGAGTGACTCAGAAGGGCCCCATCCAGCTGCTTTGCTTGGTTTGCCATTTGGGTTCGCTCTCAAATAATGTAATGGTTTTGAAAGTCTTGTTTTTTGTATTCAATGCTCTCTGTGATTTATGGACGTAGAGTGTAAGATATCAGTACATTTACATGTGGTGTATGGCATGCTTTGGGAATATACTTGAGCTGTAGGACTTCATTACGCTGTGAATTAACCTCTAATCTGGAAGAGAAAAATACAACAGTAAAGTGTGGTACAAATATATCTGGAGAGAAATATCTGATTGTCTGGAGAGAAATGCAGCATTGACTAAAGCGAAATAAAGCAGGTTCATGGGAGATAGAGCGTGGGTCTGAGAAAGGGGCTCTCTTCATTCTGATGTAATAATACAAATCTTGCTGTTATTCTGTATCACTGGGGCAGGGTTGACCTCAAGATTGGGGGCCAAAACTCATGGCAACAGTGCCTCGTTTCTCTCTGGATGATACCAAACTTCGGCAATTAATTGCTGAATTAATTGCAGCTATAGCTGGGCACCATTCAGCCTGCAGCCCCATTTCATCACAACTTGATTTATTTTCCTGTGTTACAGTGGTTTTGTAGGTGTAATTTTATTCATGGATACAGTAAGGGTTGAGCATCATTCTGCTTCATTGCAGGAACGTAAGTATTTGTCAAAATGAGAGGGTTTTCCAAACTGTTAAAGTAAACTATAAAACTCCCAAAGAGGTGGAAAGTCTGAAAGCTGCATTTGATCTTAAAAATAAATTAATAAATGCTTTATGATGTGGAGAGGAAAAAAAAAAAAGAGTCCAGGTGGATAGCACAAGTGTTAGGAAAATAAGTGAAGACAAATATAGTTTCAGAGCAGGTGTATGGGCTCAGAGAACAACAGAACATGTTTCTTTGCAGTGACACAGGAACTTGGACCTTCTGAATTCTCCATGAAACAGGTGAACATGTTTTTCCTTTCAGGCTTCTTCAGGAGATATGTGAGTGATATAAAAATGAAAAGTAAGAGAAGTGATGATTTGCATCTGTGGGTACTACCAGGCAAAACCAGTGGGATATTTCACGTGCTCTACATATTTTAGAAGTGGAAAAGCCTGTCCTGGTGATAACAGCAGAGTCATTGTTGCATAATTTGAGTTCTGAATGCTCTTGAACTGTAGTAAGAGCCTGAGATCAAGATGGGCCAGGAGCCAGGTATGTGAGGAACGTTTCAGGGATGCACTCGGTGCTGATGTTCTCAGTGTTGTACAGCATCCCTGCCAGCCCCTTGCCCACCTCGATGCATGCAGAAGGCTCTGGGCATCAGCTTTCAATCTTCTCTCCTTTTCTGAACAAAATCAGTCCCCTGATGTTGACACTATCCCCTGTTCTTGGAAGAAAAGTTTGCTGAAAAGTTGCTAAGTCTTTCAACGCTAACTTGGATTGCTTCATGTCAAGACCAAACCTTTCCCGTAACTGTATCTTACCTGAACAGAAAAGATTTGTCCTGACACAGGAATCATATGTGATGCTTTGTGTGCTTTGTCATGCAGGAGGTTACCTGGGTGATCATCGTTTTTCCTTGGTGTCTTGAAGGTCTCTTAATGCTTCCTGTTACTTGAAAGTGTATCAAAGCTGCATGATCCCCAGGGAGCACAGCCAGAGGAGGAGGCAGCTCGGTGAGTGGCAGCACGGCAGGGCTGTCCGGGGCCCAGCTCAGGGCTGCCCAGAGGGAGCACGGCCAGCTGCCAAGCCGTGCAGCGGGCGGCTGTTTTCATTGAGAATGCAGCCCGAGAAGTTAAAACCTTCTGAGTTTTTAAAGTCAGCTGGAGAACATTATAGTCACGCAGAACTGAAGGCAGACAACTCGTTAAAATTAGCGTTGGCCGTAATTAAAAACATGCCGGGGGAAAAAGTCTATGAGAAGAAACAGACTCTTGGAAAGCTCCTGACATAGCTACATGTCTAAATGGAAACGTTGCTTGCTAATTGATTTAAATGATTGCCCGGCTCCTCCCTGCTCGCTCCCTGCAGCAGGTACCGAAGCTGCCCTCTGCGGGCAGCCAGGCTGGGCACAGCTCCTTTCCCTCCTTGCCTTTAGCAGCCCGGCTCCTGAGGCAGCAGGGACAGGAGCTGCCATGCAGCTGGAACCCCTGGGGCTGCGTGCTGCCCACGGCTGTGTCCTGCTCTCACTGAGAACGTGAGGGTGCACATAGGAAGGAGGATTTTCAACTCTGAGTTAAACCTTTGTGGTGGGAGCCAATGCTGACCATTGGTAGCAAATAGCAGTGACTTGGCTGTGCTTGTTGTATCATCAGGTCAATTTGGAGTGTCATTGCTAAAATAGTGCCACCACCAGCTGCGCCAGGAATGAGCACAGTTTCTCTGCTGGTTATTGTAGTGTTTTGTTTCCTTTTGTTCTGGGCAAAAGGCTCAGTCCTTACACAGGTATCTTACATGCTTCTCTGGTCACCTTCCTGAAAATGAAACAACAATGGGGCTTCAGCTGCATCGTGCTGTGCTGTATGCTGGCAGCACATGGCCAAGCAGCCTGCGTGATTCCTGTTCCTTGTTGTCCTACCAGGTCTGATTTTGTGGTGCTGCTAATCTTACATCCATCCTGTCCCATTTAGCTGAAATTTTTATTTCCTTGCTATTGCCTATGGTTAGGAAGTGTACCCTTCCACACGTCATCATTCATTTTTCCATTGGCTTCCATTGTATAATGCAGAATGAGTGTGAAAAGCTCTTCTTGTGTCAGTCTGGAGAAGCCCCATTTCGTGTTGTCATGCGCAGTCTTGGGGTTTGTGTGTTTCTATGAAGATAACAAACCCTGCTTCACAGCCTTACATAAGGCCTACTGGCTTCAATTATGTGTTGTAACTCAATGACTACTCTATTAAAATCATAATGCAATTTATATTGGCTTTTATTGCACGTTGTAACATGATGATAGGCCCTTTTCATGTGATGCCTTTTGGCTTTTTTAACAAATCAAAATGTAACAGCCCACCTTTTTATATTCTAATGTAATGAACTCTTTCCACAGCTCCGTCTGATGCTTATTGGCTTCTATGAGAGATCCTATTCCTAATTTAATGAGTCCCTCTTCACATCATAATGTAATTCATACTGGCTTTTACAGCATATCCTCGCATGCCGGTGCCAAATCATATTGTGTCATAAAGCTAAGTGGCTTCTAATGGACATCACACCTCAGTAACCCTGTCACACGTTGTAACATTTTTGTCTGCTTCTCTAACACATTGCAAAAGTCCAGTGGTTCCCCAGAAAGCCTGCTGCAGGCGTGAGCCATGGGCTTTAGGCAGCAGGCGGCTGCGGCCCTTGCTGAGCGGCTGCAGGCTGTCGTGCTCTGGCTGTGTGTCACAGGGATATTTGAAGGGATGTTTTAAAGAAACACTACCTGCCTGACTTTAACGACTCCCTTGCTCATGTTACGGGTTATTGCACAACGAATGCCTTCAGATCTATTTCTCAGTGCAAGCATTTTTAAGCTCGTGTAGGGTTTACCTTATTTAAATTCTTAATGAGGCATACGTTTGCTTCTTTAACCAAATTATGCTAAGATTATTTTTTTGCATTCCAGAGTCCATTCTGGACTTTGATATTTTCTGAGGAAAGGCTTTCTGTAGTGAGAAAATTAAATTCCTTTCTTGGTGTGTATTACTGGCAGAGCACTGTTTTCTGAAGGCAGCAGAGGTGGTGGCACACCATCCCTGAGCAGCAGCAGGACCTGCTATCCCAGAGTTCATGGGTAAGTTCACTGCTTCGCTGACATCTGATGGAGCCTTCGAGTGTTCTTCAGAAGAAAAAGATACAAAAATATTTACTGTTTTAGGAAGGAACGTCACATAACGTCTCTTTCAGAGCAAGCACCTAAATCTGCTATTTATCAATATAATATTTGCTCCCTTTAGAAGTGCATGGTCCCAGTGTCTCAAGTAGCTCTCAAATCTCTTCAATAGCATCATGCTATGAAGAATGCACTACAGGTGGGCTTTATTTTCCCAAACTTCAAATGTCTGTGTCTTATTTAGTCCCCTTAGCCGTCATTTGTAGGTGCTAGAAAAGACAATGTCAATAGATAATCACCTATTTAATTATAGATTTACTTTTAGATGAGTTGAATTGCTTTCCGAAGAAGATTTCTATCCACTGTTTGCAATGAGACTTGATGAGTATTCAGATGGAGAATCCCACTCTTGGAAGATGAATATTCATGAGAGTATTGCAGCCAGGTACTGGCAATTCCTATTTCAATTCTTTTTAAACTCTCCATTGTATCTTCTATGCTTTTGTAGTTTCCAGCAGCGCGTAACAGCTTATTTTTTTTCCTCCTTTTCTTACCTGTTCTTTGTAGGCTGTTCCCACGCACCACCTGACGTGTCCTATGTGGTTCTGGGTGCTGCTGGTGGCTTTCCAAAGGCTCTCCCTTCTCTGGGTCCCTGACTAAATGGTGAAGTGCAGTTCAGTGACACAAACACCTGAGCACATGCAGTGCTGAGAAAGCAGGTGCACTGGGAGGCACTAAAGGATTGGGGATTTGGATGCACTCCTGGTCATTTCTGAGGCCTCTTAGTGAGCTGTGCATTCTCTTTCCAATTCTCCCTGGTGCTGTAAAAGAGTAATCCTTGGCCAGGGTTTCAGACTGACAAAGGACATGTTCCTTCTGAGTTATTATGATAAGTCTTTATAAATCATTCATTTCATTTATTGCACTACAGTTTATAGATCTGATAGGAGTTATTTGATAATTGAGCTTCTTTTAACACCGTGATAGGATTTAATTCCCTATGAAAAGGCAAGTCATTAACTTCTGCTTTGTATGGGGCAACCTATTCTAACCAGAGAAATATAGATTTTCAATAGTATTGCCTCTGCCCTCATTCAGATCTGAAGATGGAATAGCTCAAGTCTCTTCTGTGGGCTGGGTTTGTCAGCTGTGTTGCCATTGACTCATGGTGACCTGATCTTTCCAGGAGGTGTATTTTGTTATAGTGGGAGGGAAGATCATGGTGCACAGTACAGTATATGGGTTCAGAAATGAGTTTCATGGTGTGTAGCAGGGGCAGGGAAAGTAAGCTCCCCTAAAGCCAAGTTTGTTTTCGTCCACTCATGGACTCCTCTGGAGATCTCCTTGTCCAGTCCCTGCTGCATGCTGGGTCCTCTGGAGCGCAGTGCTCACCAGCAGGTCCAGTCAGGTCTTGAGTTATCCCTGAGGATGGAGATGCACTGCTTCCCTGGGCAGCCTTCCTAATGCTTGGCCATATTTGCTAGCAAAACCAGGTTTTTCTCATCTTCAAACAACTTTCCTTGTTTCAGTTTGTGATCACTGCCTCCCATACTGTCACTAGGCACCCCTGAGAGGAGCCTTTTTTTTAATCCTCCTCTGCCCCATCAAGTATTTATACACATGGAGAAGGTCCCTTACGTGTCTCCATGGCCCTGTACTGGACAGCTGACAGCTCTTAACGTTGCATAAACCTTTGTGTGCCCTTGTACTTAGCTTTGGGTGAAAGCAGCCATCAGCAGAATTCATTTTTCAGCAGCTTATATTCAATGTGATAGCTTGTATGGCTGGGGTCGGTGCAGTATTGCTATGCAAACATGCTGGCAGTATTGATACAAAAAAGAAAACCTATGTGCTATACAAAGACAGAGACGACTTGAATAGACAAATGTAAAATCTGAAATCATAATTATGTTGACTTGGTATTGGAGCTAAAATTGTAAGAACAGAAAATGATAGGAAAAGTTTCACGGTGTCTTGTCTTTCCAGGGAAGGAACATTTCCTTGTTTGCCCTGGTAAATGGTTCTGCAACCCCACGTCATGTGTCCTGTGCTCCAGCCAAGGAGGGCTGGCTGTGACAGCTTCATGGCTCATCAGCACCGCTGCTCAGAATGGTAGGTGCTACTGAGAAGTGCAGGAGATTCTTCCGTATCTCTTCTGGTTTTATAGACCATTGGTACTGAGTCTGCAGCAGTCCTGGCTAGCTTGCCTGAGGCAATTAAGAATAACACATTGTTGAAGTGATTTTTATGGGCCCAGCACAAGTGTAGGGGATGATTTTATGGGCTAGCACATCCTGAGGGGATGAAAAGACATGTGTTTCCCTGAAGTGTTGTGCTTGCTGCTCATAGAGCTTCTGTGGGCAAATGAAATTAGGTTGTGGGACAGAAAGCACGCAGCGGCCTCAAGCCAGAAACGTTGCTCTCTCTGTACTGGAGACAGTGTCTCACAACATCCTTCCTCCAAGGCAGGCTGAGGATCTCTTTTCTCCTGTTAACTGAGCCCAGAGGGAAAAAAAAAATAGCTAACAAATGTGTCATTTGAGGAAAGGACCCATCCTCCTGCAAGGGCTCTGCTGGGCACCTTCACCCACCCATGTCAGTGTGCAGTGCAGTACTGAGGCACATAGGGTTCTGGGATGCTGATACAGCATGTGGCACCTCTTCAGATTGAGATAGGAATTATGCTTTAATAGCTGTTACTGCCTTTGTGATGATGCACATCTTCATGGGCGCAGTGTGGGGAGAATGATGGGAAATAGCTGAGAGGAAAGCAAACAGTGTGTGATTAATTAATCAAAAGGATGTAATTCAGTGAGTAGAATTGTACTAGCAACAAATTACTTATAGACTAAATAATACCCTGAGGATGGAGGATTTGATAACGCAGACACAGGGAAATACATTTTATCTGCAAGTTAAAAGTTTGAGCCTCATCTTGTACACAGGTACTATGTGGTGGAAGCTGATTATATGGTCACTGTGACCTTTGCATGCAAACAAAATAGGGTAAGTCTTTCACTTTTCTGAGTAGTGTGCTTCTGCTGAACTTTTACTAAGCTTTTCTGCTTAATCCTCCTTTGTCTTAACAGTGCTTAATAGCTTCCTGTTGCAGAGTGAATCTGCAGGACTTCTAGGTAAAGTTGGTTGTGCAAAGGATAGTTGGAATATTTAATATTTTTCTTCCCTGTTTCATGACATGGGGTAAAAATTGCATTCCATGAATTGGGGAATAAATCCATGTCTTTAGTGGCAGTTCCTCGGTAATGTTGGGAAAACCTCCTCATGCTCATCCCCAGTGGCAGAGTTGCCTCCTAGTTTCTTTGAAACTTAGTTTGTGTTTGGACATTGTGTTTTGGGTACAGCGTCATACGGAAATTTAGTTAGGCAGCAGTCTTCCTCATTTTTCTGTAAAGTAGCACTATTTAGTATTTTCTAGCTATTTTTGAGTCAAACATTCAATAGATGATCCCCAAGTTTTGGGCAAGTATACAAAAAAAGCATACTTGACTGGTTCAGCCTGCCCAGTCAATCGTTGGTGAGGCTGCAGTACTTCTCCAGAGTTTATGGCCTCATGTCAGGGAACAAGTGATGTGCTCTTGCAGAATACTTCTCCCTCCAGCCCCTGCAGTGCCTCCTCCTCCAGCCATCTTTGCCTTTCAGTCTGACATTATGCATGGCCATGGCAAAGCTGGGGAGAACCATCTACACTGGTGCAGTTCTGGACAGGGTTGCGGGGTCCCACGTCCTCCCACAGGAGCAGAAGCGTACCTTGGATCTTTCTCCTGTACTGTAGATAGACCCAGAACGTACTGGACTTAGAAACAGGTTGTGCAGAATTTGATGGTTTGTTTTTTTTGTTTATCCTAAGCTCCAGTCTTAGGAGTTACTTCATTTTACAAGTTGGAGAACTCTGCATGTCGTTGGTAAGCGTAGATAATTTATTTACTAAACTCTTCTGGCTGCTTGGATACTGAGCTGGTTTGTGTATTCAGTTCAGTTATGAAACTGTTTTGGCTGCAAGCATATCCCTTAGGTACAATAAGAAGAAGGAGTAAATATCAGCCTCTCTGCTTGCATGGCACTGCCTTTTGGGAGCCTTCCCTGGGCCCCTCTGCAGAGCAGATTGGCAGCGGTTCTGCAGAAGGGAGATGGCCTGTTGCTGTGGTGACAGCAGGCAGCAGAGGTCTCAGCCAGCCCCAGTAGGCATGCTGAGTAGTAGAGAAACACAGCATCTCATTCTACAGAATTTCAGTTCAGTTTCAGTGTGCATCAAGGTTTGCTCATGCTGCAGAATCCTGGTGCAGGTAGGTAGTGTGTGCATTGATGCTCCTTATCTGAGGTGTGGAGGGCAGGGGAGTCTCTGTGGGTCCAGCATCCCCGTTGTCTCCACTGCTCTCTCCACCTAGCAGCCTCTCTCCTCTATGGATCATTATACTAAAAAGACAAACAGTGTTTGGCATGATCAGAATGATCTTTCCTGCCATTCTGATGATATGTGAGCTTTTCCACCTAGCCCAAGGGGAGCACAAGAAAATCAGAGTATAGCAAAAGGCACCACTGCTTTCTGTCCATAGCAGAGCTTGCAGAGCCCCATTTGTGCTCCTCACGTTGCAGAGCAGTTTCTATCTCCTGCTGCTGCTGGGTGCAAGCTGAAATGAAAACATCTTTGCAATTCCCTTTGTATTTTTTTCCCAGGATGAGGCCTTTTCCCTGCTGCAGGAGTTGCAGACTTCAGCGCTGACTGCTGGATGTGCCAAAACAAGCCACCTGCTTGTATGCAGCCCAGTAACTCCCTCATGCAAACATCTGCCACTCGGTGCTGAGATGTGCTGCAAGGGCTGTGCTCACAGGGCCGTGGTCCTGACGCCTTCTGCCTGCCCTGCCAGCAGGGCTGCTCTTTCTTCTGGCTCCACGTGTCCCTGTGCAGAGCTGACTGGAGGAGGGAAGGGCAGACTTGGGGCTGTGCCATGGGGCAGACCAATGCTCAGTAAGTTCTGCATGAAGGAGAGTGGTGGGAATCTGCAGTTAGAGCTGACTGATAGCAGACTGTTGGCTTCTGGATGTTTCATTGTTAAAATGAGAGGTTTAAGGGGAATTTAGAGACACATTTGCAGTGGTGATTTTTTTAATGGGACTTAATTTGTCATCTGTCTTGCAACTGATAAATTAAAAGCATACAGAGCAGAGGCATGAAAAGGTTGCCAGCTTCAGACTGCTTGCTGTGCAGCCAAGATTTTCTACAACTGCGATCTTGGAAGAAATAGATATTGATAAGGAAGGTGATGTGTGCATTTGTTACATGGAAAGGGTGCTGTGCAACCTATCCAAGGTAGAGAGAGGCTGCTGTTTGATGTTTGATATAAAGCCAGATAAATTAAACTTAAAAAACTTCCAATTAGATAAAATCAGGAGAGCAGTAAGTGGAGCAGACTGGCACTATTTCTCAGACAGTGGCCTATGAAGGAAAACTGGCTGAGCTTTAAAGAAGTGCTGGAGCTGGTTCAGAGGGTGAATATATCTTTACTTAAAACTATACATAAAACTTTTAAACCAATGTGGATGAGTGATAAGCTGTTAAAGTTAATTGTGAGAGAATACAACTCTAAAATACCGAGAGCAGTGGTTGATGGGCTGCCAGAGGGATTGTGAAGCTGCAATACAAATGGAGGATGTGAAGGGCAGAATGGGGAGCAGGTAATTATGGCCATTAAGCTGCAGAGAATGTTGGTGTTCGAGCACTTTCTGTGCTCAGAGACAAAACCAAGTGCCTGCACCCTGCCCCTCCTGCTGTGTTATTTCCATCAGATGCTATACCAGTAAATGCTGCACTTACCAGGAATAGTAACACACCTGTGTTGGGTTACCTGTTACAGCTGTCGGTACTAATAGTAATTTATATCAATTATTATATCATAATATTTATATAGCTACTATAAGATAATGTGTATAATTATATATTGTGAGTTATAATCATGGAGTAATGTGTATTGAGATGTCAATATGGTACATCTAATACATAGCATTGCATGTACTCACATGTGTTTACTATACAGATATGCTTGTCCGTGATATGTATTCTGTAGGAGGCTCTTACAGGTTCATCCCATGCAGCACTACATGTCACATAATGCACTACTACAGTAGTTACTGTTTATACCCCATATGCCAGTACCAGCTGCAGGCTCCCAGCACCTGCAGGCTGCAGGTAAATATGTATTGGGAAACAGCTTCACTCATTGCATTTTTTCAGCTTTGCTTCGGGTTAAGTTTCGTGCATCCAGTCATGAAGGTGCAGTTCAGCATGAGGGTGGGTTGGGATGCTGGGGTAACCAATTGCGTGAGCATTTCTGTATGAGGAATTGCTGTCAGCTCACTGTGGTAATTAGAACCACCTACTTTGATGTTTTTTTTTTAATTAAAGCTACTCAGAGGACGCCATGCCAGGAAAGGGACATTTGCTGATGGGATTAATGAAAAGCATCTGAAGTTTGGCTTGATTCTTCTGTCTTGCTATTGATGTGCGTATTGCTGATTTGGGCAGTTTGCAGAATGCCTAAATAAAACAAGACTGAAAACCCCAGTACGGCTGGTAAGGAAAAGGCAGTCATCTCCCTCTGGAAGGTGTTTGCTTTGAATGTTGTTTTGTAGCAATTGCCATTGGGGTATTCATCCACTGTGTTACTTCAAGTCATAGAGCTTTGTGCATTTATTTAACAGGGATTTTTCTAATCTCTGAATGCTCTTCCCTCTTATACTAGGAGCAGAGCCCCTGTGATATGATTCCAGTTCCACTCATAACACTTCCATTTAGGACTCAGTTTGCTGTACTGCTGTTCTGCACGTGGAGCAGTATGGTTCTGACATTAGAGTCAATACCAGGACATGCACTGTGCCATGTAGCTCTGCCCTATGCCCACTGATCCAGGCATCAGTGCTGTCCTGAAATTCAAGCAAACTGAGTATCTCACTCTCAGAGTTCTTAGGGAACCATTTCCACCAGTCACCACTTGGGTCTTGGGGGGATCTAACAACACTCTTACCTACTCTAGCACTGGGAGCTGAATATTCAGATGCAGTACTGAGGGATGTGGTTTAATGGGAAAATAATGGTGGTTGGTGGGCAGTTGGACTGGATGATCTCGGAGGTCTTTTCCAACCTTGGTGATTCTGTGATATGTTTCGTGATTGAGTTTCATTGAAGGTCAGGAGGAGATGGATGGTAGGGAACAGTTGTGTGAGATCCATCAGGATAACTCTACTGGAAATACAAAGGTCACAAAGTGAAGACTGTTCCCACCCAAACTCATAGCTTCTTTCTTTAGAGTAATTAAGCTATGGAGTGATTAACTTGGCATGGCAGTTAATAATCTTTGAGCTGTTGCCACGGGCTGCCGTAGCTGGTCTGTGCACTGCCGATGCCCAGATCTGGCTGTGATTGAAATGTGCTTTGGCTCAATGCCTGCTGCACTGCAGCAATGAAAAAATTCAAAACTAAGCAGGTGTCTTAAGTGAGGCTCCAGGAGGAGGAAAAGATGCTAAATCAAGGGGAAGAAAATGCCTTCAGGAACACTTTTTTTTTTTTTTTTTTTTCCAGTAAGTGTAGATATATAATGGCATTTTAGTTCATTTCTTACTTTACACCATTTTTCTTACCACTAAGTAGTACTTAAAGTGATTTTGCTACTTCTGCTACGTATTTTGTAACTGTTTCAGTCATTAAGAAATTTTTTTCTGTCGTGGTTCAGTTACATTAAATAATGTCCCAATAACAGTGAGAAATGGTGAGAATTGCATTGTACAGTGGTAGAGGTTTTGTATTCTAAAAAACATGGGAGTTCTAAAAATGCCATCCTTTCATGAGATTATAGGATAAAACAGAAGCATAAAAAGGAGAAGTGACTTGTCTTCATTACATCCAGAATATAAGTGCACGTTTTGCTTTTTCTTCTTCCTTAGAACTGGAACACAGGTGATGTTGCAAAACAGGGCCAAATTTTATCCTATCCCGAGGCAGAGGAAACCAAACAGAATTCGGGATGCTGGGTGGGTTTGGGTCTAAGTCTTATTGTGCAGGTAATTCTCTGCAGGTTTGCTGGGACTGTTAAGCTACAAAGTTGAGCATCATCACCTTCAACAAATTGCCAAGTGATAGTGGGTATTCTCCTGTGTTGGCAGTAGTTTGGGCTTACTGGAGCAGCACAGTATTTTCTTCTTGCTGAAGGGGAAGATCGTGACAACTTGCTGAAGCATTAAAGCTTTAAAAGAGACAACTTAGATGACGAAGCACATTTCTCTGCTCCCTTTCTATGGTGACTGTGGTAAAGGCTTTGTATTGCTGGACTAATGAAGAACTGAGCATAGTCTAGAATCTGGAGCGGTGACTGCTAATATTCATGGCAGTTTGAACAGCTGCATGTTCTGTAAACGTGCTTCTGGTCAGCAATTTTTTCTTCTGAAGAATTACAGTCACGGTGTTTGCACTTTGAGATCTCATCCAAAGCCAGCCAGAGCTGAGAAAGCATTTGAAAAATGCGTGCAGACATAGGGTTTAATTTTTAGATAGCCATGAGTTGGACTCAATGGGCTCTCTGGATCCCTTCCAACTAGGGATATTTTATGATTCTATGATTTTCTTTAATTGCTTTTTTCCTTGTTGCGTTCCATAGGACGCATGTTGATGTGTACAAATGTGTAAATAAATGGAAGATATTTCTGAGTAAAACCAAATTGATTGCTATATGCATTAATTGAAACTAGTTGAAACTCTGAAATGAATTAGGCTGCTGTTTCAGACTTATGTAACCTCACTGTAACATTTAACAGATGAACTGTTGTGTTCCTAGAGAGTGAGCCATGACGAGCCTGGAGGTCCAGCAGTGTCCAGGTAACTTCTGTACTCACTGGCAGTGAGGAACCAGCACAGCCTCTGCCTGCAGCATTTGAGATGGCTGGAGGAGAAGAAGAAATGCATGGTCCCTGTTGTGTAAAGGTGAGGGTTGTAATGTGTTGGAGGATTTTTCCACATTTCATGCTGTCTTTTCTAGAAAGCAACGAGAAAGAAGATTAACTTAAATCAGTTCTAAGTATTACGATAGTGAGGTCTTTTTTTTCCTTAGTGTTTCTTCTCTTGGACTTTCTGCAGGTTGACCTGTTTCCAGAAGCTCCCCGTACTTCAGGACATACCTTGACGTGCCAGTTTGTACACATCTTTAGCCCCACCAGTGTTGTGCTTCAGCAGGAGCCTTGGCCAAGCTGGTGTTCCCATGGCTGCTGCCAGCTCAGAGGTGTTCCCTGTGGCACTGCACGTGTGCCTGCTCTGTTTGCTCAGGTGGGAAAGATGTTGATCAGGGACAGAGAAAAAACCTTTTAAAACAAGTTGAATGTGGGGACCAGCGGTCATCATTTCTCTGTTTAGAGGCTGAGAGCTCTTGCTGTTTATGGTCACTGTGCTGGTGTTTGGCACTTTGTCCTCTTTCGTCTGACAGTAGCAAGAACTGATGCTCTTTATTTTACTCAGAATCATGTTTTTGGGTTTCCGATTTCTTAAATCCTGTCGTGGCTTTTAGTCTAGAAGGGAGCAGAAGTATGTTTTTGAGAACTCAAAGCTGCTTTAAATCATAGCAATAATAATGCCCAGGCAAAGAATCATTACGGTTAGCTAACTGTAGTAACAGCAGGTCTTGGCTTTTTGTTTTTTAGCACTTTTAAAAGTAGCAGTCAATCCAGAATAAAGTCACCGTTGATTACTCTGATTTACATCCATTTAGCAGAGCAGAATCTGACCCTTGTAATACATTCCTGGGTTTTAAGAGCAGGAGAACTCTCAGCAACGAACCCAGTTCTACGGAAACAAAGCCACGATCTTCTAGATGTTAATGCAGCAGTCCTCAAGAGATGTTTACAGTGAGATGTGTTGCAAGGTCACTTTGCATTTTACCATGCAGTGATATTGTGAGTTCTGACAATTCCCTGTAAAGAAACTCCAGAGCACGTGGTATCTAAAAGCAGCCTCTGGCGTAGCCACTACTACCAGTTCTCCTGAAAAAATGGGAGCTGGACTTTGCACAAGTGTTTATTGTAAAGTTAGCTGGGCAGAAAGCTTGTGACTCAGGCTATGGCTGGTGGGAGGTATTACTCAGCTCCGTGTGAACCCTCAATAAAGTTCAGTACAGTTCTTAAGCTGTGGTTTTGGCCAGGTTTTGCTTTTTCTGCGTCAGTCGGTTCCTTCTTTGTTTGGACCACGGTTGATTTAAACATTATTTTTATGAGTGGATCCATTGACTGTTTTGACTGTGTTTGGGTTTTTTTTCTTTTCTTTTTTTTGATCCTTTGGTTAGGAATAATTTGGGGGAGGATGATTTAAATAAGGACTGATGTGTCTTGGCTGGGCTTCCAGTGGCTGAGGAACGCATTCTTCACCACTGTCTGCTCCTCCTTTGTGGCTGGCCAGGATGTTGAGCATCTTGAGATCCAGAAGGCACTTGTTTTTCTCCACATGGACACCTGGTGTATTTTATGACAAAGGCTTTATACCAGCTTTCACTGTCTGAACCTACACTGCTTCTTCCAAGAATTTCAGGAATTTGGGATAAAAAGGGGAATTCCAGTGTCTCCTTAAAACGTAAGCAAATGAATGGATTTAAGCTTTTCTGTATGCAAGCTTATTTATTTCAATTCTCATGCACTTTTTTTTTGCTGTAGTTACTCTGGTAGTTTTAGGAAAGATGGAGAAGATCACATGTCTGGAAAAAGAATATGAATTTTTGTTAAGCAAAATGCAACACCTTGTATGAAGAGAAAACAGCCAGTGTGGTTGGGGATGTGGCCTTAGGGTGAGGATCCCAGACTTGCATCGTTCTTTCTGTCACTGCTCTCACGTGCTTCTTTGGGAGAGCCTTCTGACCTTGTTGAATGTGAGGCTCTTCCTGTCCACTGATTCACTCCATAAACAACCTGTGTTGTGATTCACTCATTGAGGGATATGGATGTAGCAAAGCCTTAGTAATGCTTCCAGAGTTTTAACTGTGTTTCAGATACTGTGAGGGCTTCAGTAGTATTGGAAAGCTTTTGAAATCTTCAGTGCTTGCATTTCAAGACTTCAAAATGTAGAAACCCCTGTGGGGTCAGCTGTTTAGGATACTGGAGCAGAGTGGAGAGCTGATGACATCATCTAGATAAAGAAAAACACCCAACCTGCAATGTCCATAACGGTACAAGAGCCTGCTTGGCTGACTCCCCTTGAAAAGCTTGCAGCTATTTCCATACTGAGCCCACCCACCCAACCATGGAGTCTGGGTGCTGAATCTTCTGGCTGAGGTTCGATTCACAATGGAAGTGAAAAATGAGCCCCTTTATTTTAACAACCCTTCTAACCTCTAAAAAGAATAAAATGGAAACGGCAGTTATTTTTCTGTCTCTAAAGAGAGAAACTTTTTTTTTCCAAATCTTTTGGTTTGATGACTAAGGAGCCAATGTTCCCTCCACAGATACAGCTCTGTGTTGGGACCACTGCTGGCTGGTCTGGTGCTTGAAGGGTTGGGATATGCCCGATAGGGAGCAAAGCTACTGGAAAGGAGTAGGCTATTTGTTAAAAACTAGCTGGTGGTGAACAAATGTAATAGCTGTCTTCAGTGTAATTAATGACTCAGTTAGCACATAAGGGGAATTCGATAGATATTATATTCTTGGCTTTTAGCAAACAGTTGATTTCCTGCCATAAGAAAATCTATTAAAAAGCTGGATATATAGCAAGCAGATACAAATTCCATGGCATCAATTCTGTATTGGCTGACATGCGGGGAGGAGAGTAATAATGATGCAGAGACCTCCGAGTGTGAAATCCTATAAAGCATTTTTTTTGCAGACATCAGTGCTGTGGTCCAATTTGTTGTGTCTTTTATATAAAGCATTTCTGCAGTTCCATTTTTTTTAACCCTAAACCAGGCTTTGTAAAATCAGACTTGCAGAATATGTGATGGAAGTTTCCATTTTGAAAACCCCAATGGAAGACACTGATTAACCACAATGCGAATGTTTTTGCAAAGCAAACACTTCAGTACCAAGCCTGCTCACAAAGCTGCTTAAGTGATGTTCAAATGGAAACAATAATGAATATGCTGGTAGTGTCATTGCCATGGAGAAGCACAAAGTGGTGGCCAAGCGATAGGAGAAATAAGGAAGGATGTTCTTTGTTTCTTCCCTCTAGGATCTTCAAGAACTGTTGATAAACACCAAGATAATGTACACATCAATAAAGATAGTAGCTTCAACAGTTGGAAAAAATAATGTGAGGCACCCAAGTTTTTCCCCAAGTCAAAAAGCTTTGAAACGTTCCCGATGTGGAGAAAGGTTTCTCTGATTTTCATTTTGCTGAGCAGTTTAGGGCATCAGCGATGGCTTGTTGGTGTCTGGACAGAGGGAGGGTGCTGAGAGGAGAGGGAAACCAAGTTGTTAAGATCTGCGAATAAAGAAGGAATTAATTACTGTTTGCATTGGTTGGTTGTCATCTCACTGCCCTTCTCGTCTCCCTAGAGCCCGGCTGACCTTCTGGGATTGCTGAGTTGCTGCCTTTCGCTGCGTCCTGCCTGTCACATCACAAACAAGTGGTGTAAAAATCAGTACAGATTTGGTGGAATATGTTCCTGTGTGGGTTTTTTGGTTCTTTTTTTTTTTTTTTTTTTAAGCAAAATGCATTGAATGTCTCAGGATGAAAATCCAAATACCTATCTATGAAGTGTGTTACAACTATCATGGAATGTTTATTTCAGAGACTTTTTCAAAGCCATTCCAATGGGAAAGGCAAAAGGAGATGCAACTTTGGGAAAGCAAATGGTGCATAATAAGAAAAAAGGCATCTAGAAATTTAAAGCGGGCTAATTTATGAAAACTGACTCCTGTGATGTCAATGTATAGCTTTCTCCATGAGGACACTCAGGAATTCTTCTGACAATGAGTGATACAATTTCAACTCCACAATCACACCCAGCTTCAAATCCATGCACATCAACTTCACTCCATCACATTGCATCATCTTTGTGTGATCTCTTTGCTGCATTTATTGAAAGCTTTTCTCAGTCCAGACTCGTTGCGGGTGTGAATCATGTGGATCCACATGAGATCAATACAGGTATTAATACAGAAAATAAGGTAGAGTTCTGCCACGCTAATCTGAACTTCTTAGGAGCGTGGCCTTGCGCAGGGTAGGGTCTCTGCCATGGCAGAGAATGCAGAAATGCAGGAAATAACTCCCACCAGCAGTAGGTCATCCAGGTAGCTTGAGAAAGGCTGCCCTGGGGAACTCACATGGCTCAGGTCTTAGTACCATTCAGTGTTCTAAAGTGTCAGCAGCTCAGCTGATCTTCTCTTTGTGTTGTTGCGTCTTCATTGCTGACAGATAATTTCAGTAACCCTTGCAGGGCAGTTGGCTGGTTAGTAAACAGCCTTTTGGACTCATCTGTGGAAGGCAGGTGAATGCAAAGAGCGTTTTGCTGAAGGCAAAGTGACTTTAGAAATTGTGAACGTTTTGTGTCCAAGCGATTTTATCCTGTTTTTTGATTCAAATGACGGCAATGCGTGATTATTTTTGTTATTTTTTTTTCAATGTCAGGGATCCTGTTTAACTTAAAGAAAAAAAAGCCAAAACACATTAAATGTAGCTTTCTTAGCATTCTGATAACTGATGAGATTTTGGCTGGCAGCAGCTTTCAGCAGTGTGTGAACTAGACTGGATTTGTCTCATGCTCTTAATGTGTCAGTATTTCTTTTCCAGACCTTTGAATCAATCATTCCTCTGCTATTTATCACTTCTGGTTGCTGGAGATGAGGATTAGCATGTTACATCCTGATTTGTAAGATCAAGCTTGGTGATTTTCAGTAATTCAGGATATGTTCTTGCTTTTGTTGAAGTGAAAGCAGGGATAATTTATCATATCATGACATTTGTTTTCCTTTTCCTTTGTGTAATGCCAAGGGATAGGGTTGGAGGTGCCTGCTGGTTCGTGTGGCATTCCCATGCAGCTGAAGTTTCAGGTTATGTAACAGGAAATTCTCAAATATGGTCAAAATTCGATTTCTAGCATTTTGGCATGTATATTAAAGTCAGTATGGTTCCAATTCAGACAGTATGCTCTCACATATGGTTTTTGTCTCATATTGAAAGAATTTGTACCAATTTGGCTACATACATACTCCACCCATAGTTTGCATATTGTCTTCTTCTTATGGTGAGGTTTGCCTGTTAAGTGGAAAGACAAAATATGCTTAAATTACAGAAGCAGAGACAGCTTAGAAACTCAATACAGCACAGGTCAGCTAGAGTTTTACTTCAGACACAGAGCGCCAGAACTCTAATGTGGGAGGAGATATGGCTGTGAACCTTACAGACAAGAGTTTTTTGTGGGTCCGTGGTTTACCTTGCCACGCAAGCCAGCTCTTTTTTTCTTTACCTCTGCTTTTATTGTTCGTATCTATCTGCATCACAAAATCTCTGAAATATTAATTTTCTTCCTTTTAAAATTGTGCAGCTAGAAGAAGGCCTTATCTCAGCCTTTATCTCATCATCTGATGGGGATTGATGATGTGTGGGGGAGTTTGCATAAATTATTTGCATCTCGCCAAAACCAACCAACCAAAAAAACAAACAAACAAAACAAAAACCTGAATAAGTGATTATAGCAGAGCCAGCAGAAACTATTCTCTCTCATTTGTGGAGGCAGTCCTGTGTCCCCATTTTGCTCTGCGTGGATTGGATGGGGTTAATGTTCTTACTGCTGATGAAAGCACTCTGCTACCTGTCTCAGCAGTGCTCCACTATGAATGCACTGCTCCTACTGACACGTTTTCTCACCCCTCAGTTGTTATCTGAGCAGTGTCAGCCCTCACAAGCTCTACAGTCAGTGCCTGCTTGCTCCAGGTGCTACATAAGCACAACAGAAGGATGCCAAGGGGCTTGTAGACAAAGTGTCTGCATGCTGTTGCTCTTTCCAAGAAGTCCCTATTTTGGCTAACTGTAGAAGAAACCATTCTTTCCTTCACAAGATCCTCACAAACACTGTCAAGGTTTAAGGAAGTTTTGTCTGAATGTCT